ATATATATATATATATGTATATATAGGGTCTTTCAATAGGGACGCTCGAAATTTATTAGATCATAGTAACCATGTTATTAAAGACATGTCAAATCTGTCAAATTTCTTGTGAATTGTTTAGTAGTGTATGGCAAATCACCATGGAAGATCATAGTGTTGAACAACATGCAAATCATAAAATTTTATTATCAAAATCAGTGCTCCGTTCGAGAAACGTTCCGCGCATTACGTGATTTTTATCCTCGCCACAACCGTCCTGCCGAGTCGACTATTCGACGTTTGGTGGCCAAATTCGAGTCAACCGGTTCGATAAATAATCAGCCAACATCAGTACATCGCCGAAGATCTGCTGCAAGGTTTGCTGTGTGAGAGTGTACGGGAAAACCCGAGGCGATCAATTTCTCATCGTTCACAAGAACTTGGCCTTTCTGCGACTTCAACTTGAATTTTGCGTCAGGACTTGGGTCTGCACCCCTTAAAATTCAACTGACCCAGGAACTTAAGGTAAACGACCAGGTAGATAACGTTGTATGTTCGCTGATTGGTTCTGGAGCAGTTGAAAGTTAACCCAAATTTCGCCAAACAAATTATCTATAGCGATGAGGTCCATTTTTGGATGAATGGATATGAACAAGCAAAATTGTCGAATTTGGGACGATATCAATCCACGCGAGATACATCATCTCCAAATGCATCCCGAGAAAGTCACTGTTTGGTGCGAATTTTGGTCTGGTGGAATCATCGGTCCATACTTCTTCCAAAACGAAGCGGGCGTTGCCATAACCGTCAATGGCGAGCGCTACAGACCGATGTAATCGACGAATAAGCAACTTCTTGTGGCCTAAAATGGATAATATGGATACCGATAACATGTGGTTCCAACAGGATGGTGCTACGTGCCACACACTGCATGCCACAATGGACATTCTGCACGAGCGATTTGAGGGCATGATTATCTCGCGCGGCGGCGACGTGAACTGGCCAAGATCATGCGATTTAACGCCTTTAGACTTCTTCCTTTGGAGTCCTTGGAGAGGGGGGGCTATCTTAAATCGCAGGTCTATACGAATAAACCGCAAACAATTGATGCTGTCAAAGTCAGCATAACAAACGCCATCCAGCAAATTCTGCCAGATTTCAGCCAGATGCGAGAAAGTCATCGAGAATTGGACCGCTCGAACATGTCACCAAGCGAAGCCATGGCAGACATTTGAACGACGTTATATTCCATACTAATGCCATAAAATATTCTTTCAAATAAAAAAAAAATTGAGTGGATATCTCACACACAACTTGTTTTATTTACATTTAAAAATCGAGAGTCCTTATTGAAAGATCCTTTATATCGAGGGTACACATATCCACGTATATTGGTTTGTCAAATTTCATTTCGAGTTTAGCATTTCTATCGCGACTAGATTCTCAAAAAAAAACGTTTCTATTATGAAAGTTTGGTTTCGCGATCATTGCTTCCGCATCTCCCGTCCCAACGTATTATAAGTCGTACATCGACGTGTGCACATTCTCTATGGTTTTACCAAATACGGCATTATACATTAATTTATACAAATTTTTCTCAAACTCGTTGTTGGCAAGAGTTCTAAAATTCGTATTGAATTCGATGTATTCGCGAAGCCATGGAGATTGTGCGAATTGCAGTACATGGTAAATTTTTGCGATTTTGAGACCGTACATTGTTGTAGATTACAATAATGAATTATATAACGTCTTCTTATCATACAACATAGCGAGGAGCTTCTTCTCTCCTTGTCGGATGATTTTTCGCGTGTTGGACAGAATGGTAGGTCTATGTAAGCGTCGTGAAGATGTTGCGGATACTTTAAGTCTACTTCGAGAACGTAACCCATAGGTGAATTTGTCACGACGATCGTAATATCAAAATTTTCTATTTTGTCGACTCATCGAAAATCGGTGTATGGTAACGGTTGACACATTGCCCAACCGTACAGGTTGTTAATGTAAAAAGTACATAAGGTATGTAAGGTACGTCGACGATTTCGATGAATTATACGACTGCATATACTTATTGTTGTAGCCCAGTATATCTGAACATTGGCTCAGACCTCCATGTATATCGCGTTCGATAAATATGACCATGTCCGTAAGAAGTTCGAATTTTACTCATGTATGTTTCAACATCGCATCCCGTATAAAACCCGGTATAATACAATAATACACAGGGTCGAGCCCATAACTCGCGATGCAACTGTTACGAAAATTTTCAAAAATGTCTGCTAACAGCAAAACATCTGTCTTTAAATACAGATCGCTATATTCACCGAGCATTCGAATGGAGAACCGTTGTCATACGTTGACGGCGTGCGCGTAATCGTTCTCAGATATTGTATCACCCATTAAAGAATTATAAAAAGAATCACGCGATGATAATTCGGTTTCCTTCAACTTTTCGACGTAATGTACTCGTACGGAAATATATCTTTTCGCATGAGCAGATCAAAATCCTCCGCACTAAGATTAAGAAATTCTGACCATATAATTTTCAATCGAGATACGACCAATTTTTCTAAACTTGATGCGAAAAATTTATAAAACGTAATTTTACATAAATTTTCTTCTTATTTTTAGTACTGTCAACATGTTTTGTAAAGGAAATATATTTTTCTTTAATTTTTTTTTAGTTTTTTTCTTTAGGAAATATGTCTACACGTCCTTCGTAACTATTTCTTTAATGATAAAATGCAAGTCATATCCCGATAAATTATGGAAAACTACGGGTATGCAGTGTGAATCTTTGTAATTCAAGTTATAATTCGAATGCGCGGGGCCTCTAAATCGCCCCATCAAGTGGCAATGATCGCGCACCCATGTGTCGTCAGGCGCGAACGGTTTTTCGCACACATGGCAGTGCGTGGTGATGTCAAATTTTTGCCAATCATCTCGCGTGAAATCTGCCATGGGAACATTAGTAGATAAGATAGTATTTACTTTATGCGCTAAATTTCGGAGTTCCTCAACGAAACACGCAATATAATTGTTAATGCAACAAAAACGATATTTCGACAGAGAATCGTCATAAGAACAATGCGTGTAGTACCCAATGCTGAATATCTTGTGTTGCTGATATGTGCGTAGATTATTCGTCTCTCTTTTCTAATCGCACATCAGATCGGTGTAGATACGAACAGGACGCGCTCCTTTCTGCAATGGTTGTTGAAGCTCAACCACTTATCGTTTTTGCTAGGCAGTCGGATGGCGCAGTCATTCATTTTACCGCAATCTACTAAGTGTGACTGTAATTTTTCATTTGTATTGAAGTAATATAGATATTTGAAAAGATCATACAAAATTATTATTATATTTACTACTGTTTCTTTTAATAATGGTTATCGATTTTTTTTTCTTATTATACTTACCGATCGCAAAAATATTTCTTATTCTTGGATCTAGTAATTTGCGATCTCACGAGGCGGAACAGATCTTTAATCAACGCAAAACGCTCATCAACGCAAAAATGCTCCACGTTATCGTCCTGTGGATTCTTTACGTACAGCAAATTAACATGCTTGTCCCTCTTTCGGCTGATGAGTCATAATGAATTTTTTTCTGCCCTGTTTTTCCTCGATTTCTGTGTGTTCACGACGGAAATATTCTGATTTTCGAATTTTATTATTTGGTTCGTCATCGGAAACTGAATGCCTTGGGGATTTAGTATAATATTATATTATTATATTATATTATTATATTATATTATTTAGTATAATATTATAGTACTGATATGAGGATTCTCGATTTGTGACTTCTAAAACGGCAACCACTGACCACGAAGCACGCATTGTCCATGGATGTTGGTTACTGCTTTCTTTATCTTAATTTTTCGCGGTACCTCAATGTGACAATGCGTGCAACGTATTATATTTGTTCACATTGAAAGTCAAATTTAGGTTACGCGAAAGCGTCCATCCACTATCGCGTTCCTGGAATTCCTCCAGTGATGTTAGGATAGGCTCGACGACGCGCCACGCATACCATTCGTGTAAATCAGATTATATTGAAGAGTTCATAATTTCTTGTGGTGATACTTTTATTCATGCGTTTATCCACCTGTTATGAATTGATCATTGAATACAATGTTTATCTTTATACAGTTATGTCTCTGCATAATGTCTCGCACACGTTCCAGCACGATTTCATTCGCGTCTTCTAGAAATTGGCTCGATATATCTAGAGTTTATAATGGCTGGTCAATATACGATTTTCGAACGCCATATCTATCTCGCATCATCGGAATCCCGCACTGTTATATCCACTTGCACAAAACGATCATGCACTGAACCTTTAAAACTTTCGAGTCGTGTAATACGAACGATCAACAATTGTTTAATCCCAATTGATAATCGCGGACGTTTAACACGACTCTGTTCTTCCAGCGATTCGATAAACGCATCGCAACGCTGTTCCCACGCAACATATTGATATCAACTGAGCGGCTTGCTCCACCAATTCACGCTCCGTTTGTTCCATATTACAATATATCCTCTTTTTCATAATCTTTTCATTAAAAAAAAGCTTTGAGAAAATGTATATTTTTAATCTATTTTTGTATTTTTGACAAAACTTTCACAATATCTTGTATCACTATGTACAAGTAGGACACATGTTACACAGCATTATTTGATAAAGGAAACCTTTACAATCTTACCTTTCGAACAGGAAGGTACCTTCGAGAATTGCACATACGTCGGTATTATGTTTTCAAACGGCACAAAGTCAACTTAAAAATCGTTTATTCTTATGATGCATGATGAGCAATATCTTCTATGAATATATCAGTGTAGTAGAATTCAATGCAGCATATCTTTTTCACAGGACGTAAAGTGTTTACTTGAGTTCGATTTAAATCTCGATATATTACTTCAATTATATCATTGTTCTCCATGTCTGCTGAAACACGAATCATTTGACAGAGTATGATCTTCATCGGAACATTTCCTGATCAAACATTTCTTCGTCCATCACTTCATCCTCATGAGATGCAAAATTCATTTTTTCCATTAAGCATACATACTGATATAACATCGATATAATGTTGAATAAACTCTAAACTCGACTGCTAGCAAAAAAAAAAATATGCTCCCAAAAGAAAATCTTTTCGTTTTATACCGAAGATGAATCATTTTTTGACATGCTGCATGCTCTAACGTGTTCCAACATGTGTTCGAACATGTTTCCGAAGGAATGATTTTTTTATCACAGTCGAAAAGATAAGCCGAAATATTTTTGAAAAGAAAGCATAGAAACAGATAAAACTTTATTGTTGTTATTGGCATCGAATCCATATATAAAAATGTTCGTCAGAGTGCATTCTTATGATATAAGTCATTATATAGTTTGAAGTATATTTGAAAAATAATATGATTTCATAGCTACGATTGTTAAGATAAATAAATTTCACATTTTGATATACTGTCCAAAAATGCATTTTTGAGAAGAAAATGGAAACAGACAGACTTTGTTGTTGTTGTCGGCGTCAATCCCATAGATAAAAAAAAAGATTCGATATGATCAAAGCATTCTTATGTCATGTCACTGCATAGTTTGATTGAAAATGAAGAAAATTCCCTCTATTTTGGGATATATAAAAAAAGTAGAAGCGAATATTGTTTAAAAGAAGAGTCTAGCTAACATTACCGCATCAGTCTCAAAGGAAATCGAATAGTAAAAAAAGAAAATATACAGCGAAAAGATGAACTACTACGTTCCAATTCAAACGGGAGGTGAAACATGAGAGACAGTAAGTTGTGTTCAATTATATAAAATTTTGTTTACATGCTTTTGATATATTGTATGTTATATATTTTTTCTACTTATCTATATATCTTATCTTATCTTCTTTCTTTAACACATCTTACATCTTCGACACTTTGTTATACACTTCATATTTTGAGAAGGAGATTTGCATTGACACCTACAGTTATATCTGAACACTGGAATCAGCGTGAGAAATTCACTGCGTCGAACATTAAATTTTTACAATCATTGGGCTTTGTTGTACGAAATATCTAAGATAGTTGATATCTTGAATATTGGAGACGAACTAATCTTTGACGATCGCATCGTCAAGTTTGAGTTTCACACGTACAGTTCATATGTCAACACGACGTTTTGATATATCGAGATAAGGATACCCATACAATAGCAGGATTTATACACGTTACCATGTGAAAGCATTCTTTATGTCGAAGGTAGATTGACTTCAAAGGAAAAAAATGTACAAAAGCAATCAAATCTTGGATGTAATCATGTGATGTTCATGTTCGATGAAATTCGATATGAACTCAATAGTATGGAGATTGATCGCAGCAGAAACGTTGAAATAATTAGTCTTAGGATTATGCAATGTTTTCTAAATCGCATATAATTTGCATCGTATATAATGCTGGATTTATCGACTCTGATATCGCGAAAAACCTAATGACAAACGATGGATACTTTAATTTTGTGTACGCTCAGCATGTTATTGGGCTTTTGCGAGGATTACAAATGTGTAGTAATTAACGCTCGTCACGAATTAATTTTGATACGAGCGCGCAACAGTAACAATTATATAGTGGGAGATCCAGCGACAGAGCCAACGCTTGAATTATTCAAAGTACAGTGGTGAATACCTCACGTTGCATTAAATGAAGTTAATAAACTATCCATGCTGCGCGCTTTAGAGAGCGGATGATATGAGTTTCCATTCGTGAGATTTGTATGAGTACCCCTTATTGCGAGTACAATGAAGCATTCCTGGGTCATCAAAACTGCGACTCGGCTGGAAAAACCACGATACGTTATCTTTGGTCTACAGACTGATAAAAAAAATATCATGATGTAAAACTTACTTCGATACCTGTAAATCAACCAATGTGAAACTTTATCTAAACTCTAAATTTTATTCATACGATGATCTGAATCTAGATTTTGACAAACGCTGCTACTTTGTATGATATGTATTATGTTGTATGATATGTATGATATGTATTGTATGATATGTATGGCTTACTATCAAACCCCTCGTGAAAGAAATGAACCATCATTCCAGTTAAATTCCTTTTTGAAAGATTTTACTTTAGTAACTATTGACTTCTCGACAAAACGAGTCTGTCAAGACTCGCATGTACGATTAGAATTTGAATTCAAAGAATGTACACGCGAATACAATCGCCTATTGCCTTATCATACACGACATAATCGAACATCGTCCAATGTCCATCATAATATGCAAGATTACGTAAATAATCATCATCAAAAAATACCCTCCCTCTCTTTTTAATATATGAGGTAAAATCCAAGATTCTTTGTGATCAAACACAATCTGAAAAAGTTGTTCATGACTATACCAACGTTGTGGATCTGTGATTTATCATTGGAAAAAAATTTATCGTGAAGAAAATGGTGATATTGAGAAAAGAAACTATTCTCTCTTATTATTGTATATTTTTACATGTCTCATGCCATGGACTTTTGACAAAGTCAGAAAAATATTGCCTTCCTGGTTGAGTGCTTGCCATGCTCACTATGGATTGCAATGGGAAGACGAGATCCCGTATAGCGAGATGATGAAATTACGATGGCTGTAATTGATGCGGAAGAGAACGACGATAATAAGGCTATCATATATGTTAAAGGACGTGAAAAACGCGAATAGCTGGTATACTCAAACGACTCGACAATTGAGATTCTAGATGCTGATTACGAAGATTCTATAATCTAAATGTTACTAATACTGTACGATGTGAAAAATATGTTAAGAATTATGCGTTACAGAATGTATTTAAGATATACAATTGGTGGTCGCAACGCTAAAAAGGAATATATCAAGTTTAAAATAAAATATGAGATTTAATTAAAAATTTTAAATTTCTTTCCTTTTTCTTTTCTTTGTACTTTGTAATTAATTAATAATAGCTATTGAGTAATAAAAGTAGTAGTAATACGATTTAATAAGTATTGAATTAGTCGATAAGAAAGTGCGCTTGGCAATTTGTATTACATTAATAAAAATATTATCATAATTAATTACTAAATTTTATCATTAAATATCACATCTATTTAATTAAATCTATTTAATTAAAAATATGCGAGAAGAAAAGGGGAGAGAGCGTGGGAGAGAGCGTAACGGGAAGAAAAGAGAGCGAATAATATAAGTATAGGACCGTAACGGATGAGAGAAAGAACGAGAGAGAAAGAACAAAAACTCCTCTTTCTCCCGGTGACGTCGGGATCTCCCTTCCCTCGGACCCTGTGTGACACCTCCCCCCCACACACGCCCACGTACGTACGCCCATCTCTTATATGCACTAATACATAAGTTTTTTAGAACCCACTTATCTATTCTACTTTCATGCAAAAACTATTCCCTCCCTCGCAATTTGTTTGTAGTTAGAGTTGTACGCTTTATGTTCAGTATTGCTTTAGTCGCTTGTATGAAAAGTTCAACAACAGCAACAACAACTCCGTTGTAAGAAACAATGATAAAAAAACACACGATAAAAAAATTATTATGTTTCATTTCAGAATAATGATGAAACTCCATCATTTATGAAAAGATGTGCCAAATAAGTTTAAGAATTCCCCACTTTATACTTTTTCAAATTAGCGCATTTAATTATTGGGTTGTCCGGAAAGTTCGTGCCGACTAACCTATATAATTTAATAAATGTATACTAAAATTTAAATTTTCTGCGTTTCAATTTTCCTTCAACATCGACACGAACTTTCCGGACAACCCAATAATTATTTAATGTTTCTTTTATATTTTTTATAGCGCCCATGCATCGTGCGGTTCATA